CTCCTTTGTCCGCCTGAAGGACTAATTGTTCATTCGTTTCCAGGGTTTTGCGTATCACGGCAAATCTGTTACTGCGTGTAGGCTCCTGATGTGTCAAGATCTTTGGAATTAGTCCCACCTCCATTTCCGATTTTGTCTCCTCAGGGAACTTGTCGAAGATATTGATAACCTCCATCAGGATGTCTCCTAGAAGGCTTCTGTGATGCTTAAAATTAAATAATTGAGTCCTTTTTCAAGGAACGCGGTTGTTTCGGCATTGAGAGGAATTGATGATAAGTCTAGTACTTTCTTTTGATCGTCGTGCCTATCAGTAAGTGTTGTCACTTTGCAAGCCACTTCAACTGGGCGTACTGGCTTTAATGTAGGCTCTCTTATAATCCCAAACTTACGCAATTAATCGTCATGCCGTTTGGTTATTAAGTCTGAAATCATACATTGTTTGGGGGAATTCCTTGAGCTAATAAATAGAGTAGATGCAAATTCTAAGTTTATTCTGAAGTTAGAAAGAAAAATAAATTGCATTTTTTGAATGTATTACTGATCAAAGAAGGTAATAAGGCAGTTAGAGACGTTTATAGGAAACCCACTCACGCAGGTTTTATTATTAATTTATTCTCGAACCATACATATAAAGTAAAAATAAGAGATATAAAGTATATGATATTAAGGACTCTGCGTCTAGCAGATGTAAACAATAGGGACCAGGAGATTGGTAGATTGAGGGATATGCTGTTTCAAAACAATTACTCATTAGGATTAGTTGACAATTACATGTCAATTGTAGTCAACACGATTAAGGGAGTTTGCAATCAGATGCGGGATAGAAAGCTGGAAAACTCTACTCGGTTGTTGATTTTGCTTTTCTGTCAGCTTGCGAGAAAGTTGGGTGATCCATTGAGGAAATGGAACACAGAAACAATGTATAAAATCAAATTAACACTTTCTTCAATAGTTCCTTCCTTTTCAGAATATTCAGATCCTATTTCTAGGTCAGGCTGTTACAAGGTTTTGTGCTCCTGTGGCAAGGTATATGTGGGGCAGACCTGTCGATCC